AGTGCCACGTCAGTAGTGCCACGTCAGCCAGCAGTGCCCCGCCACCATGACGGGCGCAGCTCTGGGCATGCCAGGCCAACTGGCCAACGAGTCCATTGCCGACTACAAAAAGCGTTTTCAGATTCAGCTCGCTGCAATCGAGGCTGAGGAACAACGCCAGCTGGCAGTCAAGGCTGCCCAGCTACAGGCTGAAGAAGCGGCAACAGCAGAGAAGCTGCGGCTACAGGCCGAAGCAGACGCAGATGCCCAGGCTCGCCGCAAGGAAGCCCAGGAGCTGCTGCTGCGGCATGAAGCCAACAGCATCGACAGACTCAAGTACTGGCACTTTGAACCGAACGGCGACGAGGCAACACCGGAAGAGCAGCATAAGGAGTTCATGGCCAAGCTCGTGACCAGGTTGGTTTATACTTGTAACCACCTACAGTCCGAGCTGGCGAACCTCCAGCGGGCCGTGCGGAACCATAAGACTCAGCACGAGGATGCCACACGGGCACTGGCTGCCCGTGTACTGGACCTGGAACAGGCTGTACCAGGACCAGATGTTGGGGCTTCCGGCAGTGCATCCTCTAGCCGCCAACAGGAGGAACGCGTTGACCACGTAGTGGCAATGCTAGGCGACATAAGTGCCTTCACAGAGCCGACCGACCACAGCCACAACAACAGCTCGGCAAGGCCATACAAGATGTCGACGTTCCGGATCGAGAAATTTGATGACTACACACATCAAGACCCGGTCGTCTGGTGGCAAGGATTTACAACGGAGTTGGGAATCCACGAGGTCCCTGACCATCTGTTCATCAGTGCTCTGTTCATCAACACCAAGGGAGGATGTCAGATCTGGCTCAGCCACATGGCAACCATCCACGGCGTCCAAGTTTCAGACCTGCATAAGAAGGTCTCCTGGGAGGATATGACAAAGGAATGGAAGAAGCGGCTCATAGTGGATGACGTGCCTGCGCTCGCCATCAACCGCATCTTCGCGATCGCTCAAGGGAGCACACCGACACGTGACTGGCTCACGGATTGGTAGAAGATCGTGGCCACGCCCGATCTGGACCTGCCATTTCCGCATCTGCGTCGTGAGTTCTACAACAGGTCATGCGCCGCTCTGGGCCTCGCACTTGGTGATCGCGAGCAGTACCACACTTTTGCCGAGATCATCAACAAGGCGAGAGAGATCATCAAGATGGGCGGCCGCACACGAAAAGTCAACGTGGCAGCCAACCTATGTGGAGAAGGTACGAACTGGTCCGCGACAGCAGCAGTTCGCTGCGGTCCAATCGGACAGTGGGGAAGACCCAGCAGCCACTCCAGCATCACGTGAGGGAGATCAGGTGGCTGTTGTCCAGCCGCGAAGCAACAAGCCCCGAGTGAACGGGAAGGCGAAACCAGCATCGCAGGCCGGAAACGGACAGCCAGCACCACCATGGGTCAAGTTCGGCTTGACCGAGGCCGAGTACAAGTACCGCAACCGTTACGGCTGCTGTTACTGGTGCAACAGCACCAAGCACAAGACCTCCATTTGCCAAGATCAGGCCAAGGAGGATGTGCGGCCTCGTCTTAACTCGGGAAACTGAGTTGCGCAGGAGGTGAGGCGACTCCACCTCTCACTCCGCCAGATTCGGTCGCCTTGCTAGCGGCCTCCTACACATCTGGGGAGGATGCGCATGTCGCAAGTCCTCGGTACAATTACGAGGATTATGCTGTCCACTTGGTCCCACCGCTGGACCAACCGCTCCACGTGCAACAATCTACCGCATGCACGGTTTCATCACCATCGGCAACCGATTCGGCAACTTCGCCACTATCTATCGTCGGGGATTCATCGTCGTGGTCAAGACTTGAGGTGCTCAACTCACTGACGTTCACGGACTTCAAGTGGATGCCCGTTCCCCAGACCGGACGATTGCCGAAACCGCATTGCAATGTGCTCATGGCACAACTGCGAGATTACTTGCACACTGCAGTACCAGCTCCGTTGATGGACGTCGRAGTAGRGGTTGTCGACCTTCACGCTTACATTGCGAAGATCGACCGCGAGYTCAAGACGCAACGGTAYGACGACATCGACGCACCATTGCTATATGTACGCATTCAGATCGGAGAGGCGACCTGCAACGCCTTGATCGATTGCGGAGCATCTCGCAACTACATCAACCAGGACTTCATGGTGCGCGCCCGCCTTGGCCCACGTGTCCGGAGGAAGTCCCAGCCTACGCAAGTCACTTTGGCAGACGGTCATATGCACAAGTCCATCGACCGGTGCATTGACGCCGTCCCCGTGTACTTTGCCCCTCACGCAAGTGAGGCGTGTCCTTTGATATTCTGGACACCAAATTTGACATGATCTTGGGCATGTCATGGCTGCGAAGCGAGGATTACCCGGTGAACTTCTTCCACCGCACCGTTCACATTCGTGATCGGAACGGAGTATTAGTTCCATGCACGGTACCTCTTCCTCATCCTTCAATCAGATGCCACATGGTATCCGCCGCAAGCATGCGAGCATCCATCATCAGAGACGACATCGAGGAGATGGGGGGGTGTTTTCTCCACGCCCTCCCGCCCCGAGACGCTTCATCGACGGACTCATCTTCGGATCCACGCATCACCGAACTTCTCGACGCCTACAGCGACGTGTTCGAAGGCCCACACGGAGTAGTACCGGATCGGCCCATCCGCCGCGAGATCATCCTCGAGGACGAGGCCGTACCTCCGCGCGGCTGCATCTACCGAATGAGCGAGGAAGAGTTAGTGTGCTCCGTGCACAACTCGATGATCTTCTAGAGAAAGGCTGGATTCGGCCTAGCTCATCGCCATACGGTGCTCCTGTCCTCTTCGTCCGCAAGAAGAACAAGGACCTGCGGTTGTGCATCGATTATCGCAAGCTCAACGCGCAGACGTACAGGAACACCGGCCCTCTCCCATGCATCGACGACCTTCTCGAGCGATTGGGCGGCGCCCAGTCCTTCTCTAAGCTGGATCTCAAGTCAGGGTACCACCAACTCGAGATTCGCAAGGAGGATCGCTACAAGACCGCGTTTAAGACACGGTATGGGCATTTCGAATGGCTGGTCATGTCGTTTGGCCTTACGAATGGCCCAACCACTTTCCAAGCGGCTATGACAACGGAGTTCCGACACATGCTGGATCGGTTTGTACTCATCTACCTCGACGACATCTTGGTGTACAGTCGGAGTTTGGACGAGCATGTGGAACACCTGCGCRCCGTTTTGGAGCRSCTAYGACAAGCCAAGTACAAAGCARACCRCGACAAGTGCGAGTTCGCACARCAGGAGCTGGARTACTTGGGACACTATGTGACGCCGCAAGGCATCCGTCCGCTTGCGGACAAGATCGAGGCCCTACGAGTATGGCCCGAGCCCACCAACACCACGGACGTTCGTTCATTCATGGGATTGGCGGGCTACTATCAGCGATTCATCACCAGATACTCCAAGATTGCTGCACCTATGAAGAGGTTACAGTCGCCAAAGGTGCCATTCGTATTCGATGACGCCGCACGCCGGTCATTCCAAGCACTTAAGACGGCTATGCTCATGGCACCCGTCCTTAGCATCTATGACCCCACCTTGCCGACGAGAATGACTACGGACGCTTCCGGCTATGGCATTGGGGCAGTCTTGGAACAGCACGACGGCGATGACTGGCACCCTGTGGAGTTTTTCAGCCATTAAGTGCCTCCCATCAACTCGTTTGATAATGCAAGGAAGAAGGAGTTGCTCGCATTCGTTACGACTCTCAAGCGATGGCGGCACTTCCTCCTTGGGCGTCGTAGGTTCACATGGGTCACGGACAACAATCCATTGACTTACTACAAGACGCAGGATACGGTGAGCAGCACGGTCGGGCGATGGATGTACTTCATCGACCAATTTGACTTCACACCGAAACATCTGCCCGGCCTCTCAAATCACGCAGCAGATGCACTCTCGCGAAGACCCGATCTTTGCGCTATGACACATCATGCCTTCGCATTCGACGAGGAGCTTCAGCGACACTTCATCCGGGCATATCAGTCTGATCCGGACTTCGGCACGCTCTATGCACAACTATCTTCAAATCACCCGCCGGCCAGCCATTACCGCATTGCCGACGGGTACTTGCTCCTCCACTCGAGAGGCAAGGACTTACTATGTGTCCCACGCGACCGTCGTCTTCGGACTCGCCTCCTTGGCGAGTATCATGATTCACGACTCGCCAGCCATTTCGGAGTCAACCGCACTATTGCACGGCTTCGACAGCGATTCCGATGGCCCGACCTCATTACCGATGTCACTCGGTATT